ACATTTCTCCTCCTTTGTGGGACATTTCTCCTTCTTTGTGGGACATTTCTCCTTCTTTGTGGGACATTTCTCCTTCTTTGGAGGACATTCCTCCTTTGTGGGACATTTCTCTTTCTTTGTGGGACATTTCTCCTTCTTTGTGGGGCATTCCTCCTTCTTTGTGGGACATTTCTCCTTCTTTGTGGGGCATTTCTCCTTTGTGGGACATTTCCCCTTCTTTGTGGGACATTTCCCCTTCTTTATGGCACATTTCTCCTTCTTTGGAGGACATTTCTCCTTCTTTGTAGGACATTTCTCCTTCTTTGGAGGACATTTCTCCTTCTTTGTGGGACATTTCTCCTGCTCTTGGAGTTGTTCAAGTTACCACAGAGCTGAAATTGCTGTTCAGATGTGCCAAAGGCTTTATTTACTCAAGCTGGAGCTGGGAGTGTTTATATTTTACAGCTCCCCAGTATTTAAAACAAAGTCTCAGCAGCAYTTAGGCTGGAGGGAATAAATTTTTGTTACAGGAAAAATCTCATCCTCTTGATACAAATGTTGCTTCTTACCATCCTGTGTTGGTTTGTGATTTACTGCTCTGTCACACGTGCTCTAAGTTTTTTTTTTTCTAGAGTTATTTCTAAGTTTTCTAGAGTTATTTCTAAATTATTTCTAGAGTTAAAAATACCTGCTGATCACCAGGCTGCAATTTGCTCTCTGCCTGTAAACGAGGAATACAAATTTACCACAGAATAGATTTCCCAGGATGGAATAATGGGGTTTATCACATTATTAGCTCTTACTCTAAACCCAAATGGAAAATAAAATTGGAGTTTCAGAACAGCTTTCCCCAGAATCCATGGATTGTAACCCCAGTGAGGAGGCAGCTCTGCTGCTCATCCTCCCTCAGAAACAAAGCTTGTGCAAATATTAAAAATAAAGATTTCTGCCCAAGGACATCTCTGTGGGTGCTGTGCTCAGGGTTACACTTCTCCTCCTCCATTTGCAGGAATCTGGAGACAACAACCAGTTCTGCTGGAGGAATTTRTTCTCCTGCATTAATTTGCTGAGGATTCTCAACAAGTTGACCAAGTGGAAACACTCGAGGACAATGGTAAGGGGGTGTCCCATCCCTCAGCGTGTCCCTGAAGCAGTTTCAGCCCAGCTTTGTGCTGAGGGTTTGTTCTGTCAGTGCTCTTCTTTTTTCTGTCACAGATTGAATCTGAAATGCAGAAATAATTTTTCTTCTGTAAATCCCATTATTTTTATGACTCTCAAGCCCCATGCTGTGGGTGCTGGTTGTGTTGAACACTCATATTCTCCCTTTTTGGGTCTGTGCTGTGCCTGGCCCAGTTTTTGCCACCCAAAGCAGCACAGATAAATTTGTGTGATTTTTTTGGACCCCTCTGCATGAGCTGATACTGATTTCCTGGCAGATGCTGGTGGTGTTTAAGTCAGCCCCAATCCTCAAGCGTGCTCTCAAGGTGAAGCAGGCCATGATGCAGCTCTACGTGCTCAAATTGCTGAAAATCCAGACCAAGTACCTGGGGCGCCAGTGGAGGAAGAGCAACATGAAAACCATGTCTGCCATCTACCAAAAAGTGAGGCACCGCATGAACGACGACTGGGCATATGGAAATGGTGAGTTTTTGTCGTGGTTTGAACAAATTTAATAGGGGAAAACACTCCCAAATTCCAGCA